CGCATCTTTCTCCCTGTTATAAACAAATGCACAAAGACATAATGCCCTTACCACTATGTTGTGTAGGATATAATTATGATAATTACAAAAAATCCATACTTTGCCTACTTTCTTCAGAAATGTTAGCTGAAGGTATAACCATGGTACAATTACAGAAGGTAGAACAAAGCTACCTCCTACACTCAATTTGTGTCCTTTGGTGCCCCTATTCTGTCAAAAAATATACACAGTCTGTATATGTTTGTGTATTGTTGTTAAAAAAAAAAAGAAAATAATTTCAAATTTAGATGCAAAATGATTTAGATGCAATTTTGGGATAAAACAAGCCTGTCCCTCTATCTTGGATTCAGTTCTTGGTACGAACTCAATACTCCATTCCTGTTTTATGGTATTCCACAATATAGTAATTTTGTGAAAAAAATGTACAAATGTAAAAAAAAAACCAAACAAATTGCTGCATGTTTAAAAGTCTATTTTTACACAATAATGCTCCAGTACAGAGTCGCATTTTTCCTAGTTTCTTTGAAGTTGAACAACTGTTCTTATTGAGCCATGGGTATATCATATACAATTTACAATAGATACAATTTTTTATTTCATCTCCCTTCAGCTGGCAAGAAATTTACACTTTACTACCAAATATTGAGATAAGGTAACACGTAATCTAAAACAAATGGCTGAAATATTAGCCTCATAAGTAATATAAGACTTATTTTTTGCATGGTTGAATTTTGCTCCAAAGAATAATTTTGCTGCAACTAGGACAAGTATGAAGACCAACAATATCGCAAGATTGTTGAATTTGAATTTTCATTCGAATTGGCCTTAATTTTAATAAATTTTCAGTGTAAGATTTCGGTTCAGTACAGAATCCATATATCGGGTATTGTGAAGATTTTGCTAAGAATGTCCAACTGCTCATTCTGGGTTTTGATGCTTGAAGACTAACTAACCATGAATGTACGTATTCTTTGAAAATAAAAAAGCCATGTCTGTAATCTTTCGCTAAGTTCAGACCAAATCACTGCTTCATATTAAAATCGTTAATTTCTAAGATTTTGACTTTTTATGGACAAGAAAAAATATTACAATGTGCAAGGTTTGTTGAAAATCAATGAAAATATTAAAATTTTTAAACTATTGTGGGGAAGGAAGAGAAGAGTTGAGCCGATGTTGTTGATGTCTGGAAATTGTTTAACTTGTCAGTTTGTGGGGGCGGTCCTGCAGATTTTAGCACCTTTCCAAAGTTAGTTATAAATATTAAGATGCACGAAACTTCATCCAAATTGAGTAATCCTTTCAAGGATTTACAAGAATCTTTTTTTTTAAGATTTGAGCTTTGTGAGGTAGGCGACATTAGAAGTGGACCGATATATTCTATCTTTAAGCTTGATCTACGCTTGACAATTTTAATATGATATGAAAAAGTTGATAAGCTAATCGAATACTTCCATAGAGAGTTATTGTGCATTGCAACCGCACTGAAGTGGTGGTTCAGGAGAATATAACTGCATTAAATTTATATCGATATTTAACAAGTAAATATCTCTTACGTATCGAATTCTATGATATTGGATTAGCTGTATGTAGCTCACATATACTGTTTTATACTATTACACATTTCCAAGTTATTGCAAATATTTAAAAAGGCCTATTTGAAAGACGGGGTCCGATAAATTTGTTGCAGGATAGAATTTACTGTGAAGTCGTACAATGCAGAGTGTAAGTTAAAGTTTTCTTGGCGGTAAAAGCATATAACACTCGCCCTTGTTGTCGCCTACTTCATGTAGAGAAACAAGTAAAAATGATTAAATACCATCCACCACGAACGAATTTGAAAATTTGCAAAAAATTAAATCCGTTAAAAATTCTGTTAAAATCTTAAAAATACCAATCGTAGCCGTTATATTAGGGTCTATACGACGACGTGGACCTGCATCATAAAAATCATCAAAATACCGAATATCGGGACGAAGAAATAGACCTGCAAAGACACTTTTCTGTCTTAGGCTGTAGTATCCATTACAAATTTCAAATACCAAGTTTGTAACAATTCCGGTAAAAATTGTCGCTAAAATTATTAAAATATCCAATATCGGGAGGTACCGTTATATGGGAGCTATACCAAAAACGTGGACCTACATGGCCTATTTTCAATACCAAAAGTCCTGCAGATATAATATACATTTTGAGTAAAATTTTATCAACCTACCTCATTTCGTTCGAAAGCTAGAGTGTTGGACAGACAGACGAACATCGCTAAATCGGCATAGAATTCTATGCTGAGCAAGAATATATATACTTTGTGAGGTCTAAAATGTACATTTCGAGTTGTTGAAAATGGAATGATAACCTTAATATACCCTCTTTACTATGGTGGAGAGTATAAAAAGTAAAGTTTTTAATGAACTTATTGAAAGATTAAAAATATGCGTTAGTTATTAGACAGAGAGGGTTTCTGTTCATAACATATATTTTTTGATTTAGTTCGATATTAAATCTTTAAAGATGTCCGCCTATATATCCGTCCATCTATCTGTTGAAAGGTTATTTGACGTAGATCTTTGAAATTTACCACAGTAGTTTGCATTATGACTAGGATGGTTGGTATTGAGGTATATCTGTTCACGATTTCGCATAGCAACGGTACCTTCCAATATTCGGTGTTTTTACGATTTTTATATCGTATTAGCCACATTTTCTTAGGGATTCAATTCAATCTTCGATGGACGAGCATTATATATATGGGAAGGTATTTTGGTGACTTTAGCCACATTATTCCTCGAAATTTATACAAATTTTATATTAGAGTTTGTAATAAGTCCTACCTCTTGTGGCTGAACTCTTCAGATCCCATAAAACGATTCCTTCGGATATTTGATATTGTGACGAATTAAACCATATTTTCTATAGGATGTCTGTAAAATTTATAGTTCCAAAACCGGTGTTAGAGAATTGTCCATAGTGGTCCATTTTTTTCAACATAACAGTACCCACCGATATTCGGTATATTGATTTTCCTATCCACATATTTCCATGGGAATATAAGTTCCCTTTTTGTTATGGCCCACTTACAACGGCTCACACATTGTACTGTTTTTCTGCATTCTCCCACCGGTCTCACTGGTATTTGTAGTTTAAAGTGGACCCGTTTGAATCCAGATACTTTGATTTAGAATATTTTCTATACCTAAGGGTACATAAAGTTCGGCCCTTACTGATTTTTTACTTGTTGTATTTGATGAATTTGTTGTTTAGAATTCAATTGGTTAGAGATTGTAGGGAAATCTTTACAGTTTTACTGGACAATAACCATTTCTCTATCACAATGTATAATTAACAGTTCCTTTGTCAAAGGCAAACAGTTGTTAACTTCGTGCCGAATAAAGAGTGTACGGAATATTTTAAATTCCCATATAATATATGTTAAATTCTGCTCTTAGCATTTAATAAAAGTCAAAATAAAATAAATCGTCATCTCAAACTGACATATACAACTAAAACAATTCGACAATCAAAACTGCCAAAATTCTATCAACTAATTTCCCATTTCCACAAAAATAGCGAGTATTATGCAATCTTTCATTTGTTTATGATTTCGGTGACGTTCAGCGACAAGTAAAATGCAAAAATTAAGTTATTTTAGACGTACCGATAGGAACAATAGTTTTATTCGTGATTTGAAATTTGACTCGAAAGATGTTTCTTTTTTTTACTGATTTTGAATGAAATCGTTTAAATTTTAAATAAAATTTTCAATACCAAATATTTGCTGTGTGTGGGATAGATATTTTTATTACAGATACTTCTTCTTACCGATGGATTTGGCATACATCGCCGCATTTGGTCGGAACTTCGATAGGAAGGACTGTAGCGACCGGGAAAACAGCTGGGCGCCGACATTTTCATTTTATCCGTCGATGAATACATCGACATGGTCATGCAGCCTCCCACGAAATCTTCCTCTAGTTTGAACGCCCTGGAGGCGTCAAATGTCGTTGGCGAGTAAATTTTGAAGCACTTTTATACAATTTCAAGCACAAATCCTGCTTCCTTCGAGCAGGACAACACAAATTAGTAATAAATCAAAAAGGTATTTAAGTTGGAGCCGGTAAAAATGGCGGCTTCTTCTATTGCTATTCCGTCGAAAAATATCCTTTTAACTAATAATGGATTTTTTTTTAATTTTCCAGAGAGATTGCACACGCGAACGTTATCCGTTTTCAGTTGTGGAACTGCTTTCTTAAATTTTTTAATGTACAATTATTTGGGCGAAAACACGTAAATGATTTTTTCTTCTTCTTAGGATTGAGTTAAATGGAGTTGTTACTTGGTTTTCTACTAAATATGGCGCATATCCTTGCCAATTTGAGTGATATCCCAATTTCAGCGTCGGAATGTTGGCATTTGGATAATTTCTCGTTTCTTTTCTTCGATTTTTTGCCGCTTACGTCGTCTCCGTTACCGCCAGATATGAAACTTTAATTATAAAATTGATCACAATTGATAATGAAATAACGAATACTAACTATGAATCACAAATAAGCTTGATAAATTATGAAGTAAGCTGTTTTGGTTGGATGTTTGGTCTGCTGACTGGATGACGGGCTGGTTGGTTAACTGGCTTGGATAACAAACACGCACTGTTATGGGTATAATTATTGTATCTCAAGAAGTATTTGGCTGGCCCACCAGTGAGTTGCCACCAGATGTCGAAGAAGAAGAACAACAAGAAGTAATCGGGCAGGCAAGCAAGCTAGCAAGCAGGTTGTCACGCCAGTAACTGTAAGTAAGTGTAAGTATCTGCTGCTATTGTTTAAACTAAACGGACCCGAACAGATTTCACAACTAGACAACGGCCGTGTGATAAAGAATTCTATGATGAGTTTTACTAACTCCAGTTTATTTTGGGGAGGACATGTTTCCATAATTTATAAGAGGCGTGCCCAGGCGCACGGTCCACCCCCTTTTCGAATGACCAGTGTGGCGTCTGCCACACGGAAAGGTCTCAATCCTCATTGGCTCTTCATGCATTTTGTATGACAAACGGAAGTTTCTCGTTAGCTTTTCATCAGTTTGTTATTGAATTGCTGGTATGCACGTATATATATGTGTGTGTATGTGTTGGTGGGTGTAAATGTGATTTGTTGTGTGCGACACATTGCTCTCCCAAAAGGATGTTACATCGACAAACAGGGGCACAAAGAGAGAAAAGCTTTTTGTTTCTCCACTTTCACTTACACTCGCACAGAAACACCCACCCAAACGAGCCAGACAAAGAAAGCCAATGTACGTCACACACACACAGACAAACAAATGAATGTGTCCGGGACATGCGCAAACCGCCGGGCATCAAGGAATTCAGTTGAACACCGCATCTTTGCCAATGCACAACACAATACAGACGGCCTCCAATTCGAATGGATATTTCAAAACAGTGACAACGACGACCGTAATCCTGTTCTACCACCAGGATCTACTATTCTGTCACACTTTGTTCCTATATCAAATACTAGGCCGGAGCCCCTATTGCTCCTGCCGTGTTGTATTCGTCGAGATTAGGCAATGTTTCTATTTCCATTGTTGTTTTGTGCTGTGTATTTTTTATCATATAAGTTTCGAATGTGTAGTGCCAATGATTTGTTAACAATGCCTGCCAGCGTGTCTGTAAAAAAGTGGTTCGATGCTTTGGTTGGCAGGCTATTCGAAAAAAGTAAAGGTGGCAGTATCAATACAATTCACTTCATTACGTAAATGGTAAACTTGGCACAAAATTCACATCCGTATCCGCTTAAAACGACTGAGTTAGATTCGTCGAACCGAGTGCCAATAAATCCATCAATCTTTCAAATGCAATGTAAGCATACATATATGGGTGTTTTGTCATACACACATACAAACATGTAGGTTTACAAAAAAACAAGTAAAAAAACATTAAGTTCGGCCGGGCCAAACTTTTAATACCCTCCACCCTAGGGTAAAAGAACATTAGAAAAAATGTGGCAAAAAACATTAAAATGCGAATATCGGGAGGTACCGTTAAAAAGGGGGCTACACCAACACGTGCACCTATAATTACAATGTTTCGCCACACGACCTAGGACCCATTATGACCCACAAATACCAACTTTTACACAAATCAGTGAAAAAATATGGCATAAATCATCAAAATACCGAATATCGGGAGGTACCGTTATATGGGGACTATACCAGAACGTGGACCTATACATGCAATGTTTTGCTACACGCTCAGGGACCCGTTGTGACCTACAAATACCAATTTTCAGACAAATCCGTGAAAAAATGTGGCATAAATCATCAAAATACCGAATATCGGTAGGTACCATTATATGGGGGCTATACCAAAACGTGGACCTATACATGCAATGTTTTGCCACACGCTCAGGGACCCGTCGTGACCTACAAATACCAATTTTCAGACAAATCCGTGAAAAAATGTGGCATAAATCATCAAAATACCGAATATCGGTAGGTACCGTTACATGGGGGCTATACCAAAACGTGGACCTATACATGCAATGTTTTGCCACACGCTCAGGGACCCGTCATGACCTACAAATACCAATTTTCAGATAAATCCGTGAAAAAATGTGGCATAAATCATCAAAATACCGAATATCGGGAGGTACCGTTATATGGGGACTATACCAGAACGTGGACCGATATATCTCATTTTCAATACCAACCATCCTAGGGACAATACACACACTTGTGCCAAATTTCAAAGGTCTACGTCAAATAATGTGTGCTCTATCGTGATTTCAACAGACAGACAGACAGACGGACAGACAGACAGACGGACAGACAGACAGACAGACAGACGGACATCGCTAAATCGTCTTAGAATTTTATGCTGATTATGAATATATATACTTTATGGGGTCTACGACGAATATTTAGAGGTGTTACAAACGGAATGACAAAGTTAATATACCCTCCTACCCATGGTGGAGGGTATAAAAAAAACAATTTATGTTTCAAAAAAAAAAAAAAAAAAATTGTCGACGGTTGTTTTAATATATTTGCGGAACGTTTAAACTCATGCGTTCTCGACAATTACAGATTCACCGATTCATTCTTTATAAAACAGCATTAATGCATAAAAAATAGCATCGTAAATTGTGCATATAATGATATAGAATATAATTACGTTTAAACGTATGAAAATAACTTTATTTCAAATTTATTTCAATCGAAGAACAGCTGGTAGTAGTCCGAACATACATGCAAAATGTCAAGTATCGGGGGTGCCGTTATGTGGTAGCAATATCTAAACGAGGAGTCATTTATAATTTTTCCAATATCAATCCTAATATTTCAGCTGCAATGTTATGTGGTGGATATTATAAACATGAACATATAATTTTTCTTGGAGGTGCGAGAAATTGGGATTGGGACCTTCAAGCCACTTAAAATATGCTGGTTTGAAAACCTAATAGATCTTTTTGAACGGAGCGTAATTTCTTTACTATGTACAAGTAATCCGGCGGTCAAAAGCGCGAAAATACTAAAAATTGTCAGACCTTTATTGCAAAAAAGGGTTTGAGTGAACAAAGAGTAATTCAAATCGACTGTTTTACTTTATCAATCAAATACATTTGAAGGTTCCTTGTTAGATATTTCAAAAAAAAAAGGGGACACACTTCTAGCTGTAAAATTTCACAAGCACATGCTCTTAATTACGACAAGACCAAGATGGATGAAGGTATTCGTTGTAATCTAGTATTGAGATTTTAAGGTTGCAATGCGGTAAACATCTCTTAACGAATGTACAATTCTTACTTTAGCATTCTGAGTGCCTCAAAATACTTAAGATTGATCTGAACCCCTCTGTGACAAACAGTGGAGATGTATTGAACAGTTTTTGGTAGAACGTTTTTCTAAGTTGATTCAAAAACAATGCCGTTAAAATTCATCTTCAAAACTTTAGCTGGAAATTGAATGTAAATTATAATGCGGTAAGACGGAGAAAAATAAATCAAGGTTCATACACTTTTTATTCCCATTTGATTTCAAGGTTTACCACGAAAATGTGAATCAATTTAAAGTAATTTCAATACGATCCAGCCATATTCTTGGATATCGCATCACATCACACACATTATATAATGAAATTAAAATATAGATAAAATGTAGGGAAACAAGTAAAAAAAAAAACATTAAGTTCGGCCGGGCCAAACTTTTAATACCCTCCACCTTAGGGTAAAAGAAACATTAGAAGAAATGTGGCAAAAACCATTAAAATGCCGAATATCGGCAGGTATCGTTATATGGGGGCTACACCAAAACGTGGACCTATAATTACAATATTTCGCCGCACGAACTAGGACCCATTATGACCCATTAAAATGCCGAATATCGGCAGGTATCGTTAAATGGGGGCTACACCAAAACGTGGACCTATAATTACAATGTTTCGCCGCACGAACTAGGACCCATTATGACCCACAAATACCAATTTATAGACAAATCAGTGAAAAAATGTGGCAAAAACCATCAAAATACCAAATATCGGGAGGTACCGTTATATGGGGGCTATACCAAATCATGGACCCATACATGCAATGTTTCGCCACCGGAGCTGGAACCCATTATGACCAACAAATACCAATTTTCAGACAAATCCGTGCAAAAGTGTGGCAAAAACCATCAAAATACCGAATACCGGGAGGTACCGTTATATGGGGGCAAATCTGTGAATAAATGTGGCAAAAAAAAAAAAAAACTAAAATACCGAATATAGGCATAATCCATTTCGATGCAGTCCCACAAATGTCCTTGTCCAGATCAGAACAGAACAGACCTGTGGTGGATGACTTTAAAACAAAAAAATCTAAACATATGATTGTAAGACAGCGGGTGTATATTCATTTCGCCATTCAGTTTGCGTCACCTCGAAATATTCGCTGGGTACCATAAACGATAATATTCTTGGTCTGAATAAAATTCTATAGTCGTTGGACACCTCATAATGAAAATTATGATTTCATTTCCAAACTTATTTATTAAAATGCACGCACGCAAAAGTCGTAAGTCCAATTTTTAATGAACACTTTTTAGATTTTGTGATTTTGACGTGGAACATTAGGCCATGAGTGGAACATTTTTCTTCCTTTCGAATAATTGCAGTCATGTACAGATTTGTTTAACAAAAATACAAGTTTTATTTTAAATATGAATCCCCAATCATCTCAGGAATATGTGATGTATGTAATCACGGTCTATGTCGATTCACACATGACTATACATTTCGGGAACTATTGTACTGGTCACATTTCTCGTCTAATAGAGGCACAATTTTGCAAATCCCATTTTTGATTTAATCCCATTTCATGTCTATTGTGCAACAAATATGTAATATAATCCCGAACATGATGGTTATTAGCACAACGAGTGAAATTTATGCTAGAATGCAATCTGATAGTATATTATTTTGCATGATTTCAGGGGAACTTATGAAACTTCCGATTTTTGTTTACCATATTTGCGTGAGTTTAAAAAAAGTCGGTAAACATTCTATCTTTTTCATAACATTTCCATGAGCTCAACTGATGCCATGAAACATCCGATCTTTGCTATTAGATTAGAGTCGTAAAATATCCGATCCTTCTCGTCACATTTGCATACGTTTAAGTGGAAAATATATCCGAATCTAGTTGATTGATATAAGCAAAACCGTCGTCCCATTGTATGGTACAATAATACCGGTAAATATATTTTACTTTAAAATTTGAGTGAACAGTCGCGCAATTTTTTCGCATTTTATAATTCCTTTTGAATGATAAGTGTAAAAAACTGTAAATTTAAATGGCAATCCAAAAGTAAAGTTCAAAAATGCGTGTGCATCCGCATGTTGTTACAGCAAAAATGGTTTTTGAACTTGAATATGTCAAAAAAATTTAATAATAAAATTTCGTATTTTCAGGTTTTGGGGAGACTAAAGAATTGTAATACTATTAGGAAAATCGTTACTGTGAAAAATCCGCGATGTTCCAATAATTTTTCAATATATAAATATTGTGAGGAAAGTGTCAATTAAAATAAGTAAAATAGGTAAAAATAAGTAAAATAGTATAGTATAAAATAGCATAGTATATGTAAACCCTCAGCATATGTTCGATTACTTAAATATATATTTTGACTGGGTTATTATTTTTTTTATTATTCATTGTATTGTATTCCTGTATGATATGATATAAATATTGAGACGTGCCAGGTTTGGACTATATCGACTACTTCCTTTCCTTTATATGAGATATCGCTGATTTGTTTCACAAGTTACGACAGATAAAATTATTGAAAATTGTGACCCACAACAGATCTTGTGTGAGCAAAAATATTTGAATGTGTGAAATGTAAAGAGAGTGTTGGAGCTTATTTCGCTACCTTTTGAGCGATTTGTTTTTCAAAAGCTTGAATCCTATGTATGGAAGGTATCAGAAAAAATGTTCCCATCTCTTGTGTTGATGAAAATATTCCGATGTACCATGTCTGAATAGAAACGGATGTTAATTTCGCGATTTATAAGCTTCATGGAAATTGAAAGTTTTGAGCCTTTGTGGGGGAGGTACCTGAAAAAGAGGACCGATATATCCATCTTCACATCATATCTTGAGTTAGTAGAAATAATGGGATGTCATGGCATAATTACTGAAGGTAGAACAAAGCTACCCCCTAAATACATTTTTTTCTTTTGGTGCCCTTATTCTGTCAACACATATACAAATTTTGTGTATGTGTGTGCATTGTCTTGAATAAAAAATACAATAATTCAAAATTATCTCAAATTTGGTTGCAAAATAAATACACATTTTTGACGTGAATGGGTAACAAATT